AAATTAAAATCTTATTAAATGAACTTCCTACCTATTTTCATTTTCACAAAACCTATCTATATACATTTTACAATACTGTTTTAACTGCAATCTTACTGATTCTATAACCCATTGACATACATGCTCAAACCTATCACTTATCTTCAATATCATCCAAACTAGCATATCTGAATACATTAATTATACAGATCTTAATTTATCTATAAACCAACAAGAAGAACTTATTCATAAAATCAGTAATCATTACACTTTCTACCTTATATCTCTTTAAACCAATCAACACTATCTTGATATCATACTCAAAGGACTTATCCCTAAATCTTTAATTGAGATTGTATTAAACTTTAACATCTCATACAAACTAGTCTCACAAACAATTATTGCTATTCTGCTTAAAGTTAATAAACTTTCTTATAAGCAAATATGAAAACTATATTGTATAAACTTTACTAACTGGAAACAACAACAAGAACTTAAACCACCCTATGCCAGACCCTTATTTTGATCAAATTAAAATAACAAAAGAAATTCTAATTGCAAAAATTATACTTATTCTTGTCTATATGGGCTATCTGACCAACTATACTCTAATTCTAATACCTGTTCACCTATTGGTTATGCTATCCGTAAAATCAATATCTGGACTATTCTTTGGATCAAATACAATATTTCTTATAACCATATTCTAAACTTACAAATCTAGATGAGTCTTGACTACTCTAGTAGGTTTAGGTCACAAATAAATATGTCTGAGCTTTTATTCTTGAATGTAGTTTTTCTTTTATTTGTACTTAAAATAGCTATATAGTTAGCAGTTTAATGGTTTAGCCCTAACTGCAAGTGTTGGTTTTAGCCATAAAATTTATATAAAAATTATTTTTTGTATATAGCAGCTCCATGTAGTTACTAATTTTTAAACTATCAATAAAGATACAAGCAAGGCCTTACCTTAATACCAAAAAAAAAAAAAAGTTAATTAGAAATGGAATTTATGTATATTTTATCACATTAAGATTATTTTTTATTGATTAAGGATTTGTATTTGCTATTTTTTTATTATGTAATATTATGTACATAAAATATTTTATATGCATTAATAAGCATTCATGTATATGTTATTATAATATGTATATTTTTCTTATTACTAACATTAATATATAAGTTAGATAATAAAAATATTTCTAATCTAATTTTGATTATAAGATATTACAAATATAGATAAACAATTAGTAATATATAATAAAATTAAAAATAATTTCATTGATTTTTTTTATAAAATTTGATAAATCTTATTTAATAATAGATTCTAAAAAAATGTAAAAATTAAAATCTAAATGAATAGTTAAAAATTAATTTATCAATATGCAAGAAGATTATACAAAAAATCATGTTTACATTCTTTTATCCTAAAAAATACTAACAAAAATATTTTCAAAAGAAGAATAAAAAAAGATTTTCTTAATAGTTGTTCAAAAAAGACTAAAGATTAAAACTCTACTTTTCAAATTGATTAAAAAATATGTCTTCAATAATATGAATGATTTGAGAAAATCTCTTTTTCAACTATTGGTATTAGATGAAATGGAATTTAATAGAAATTTACATTATAATCTTGATTTTATAAACTATGTGTATCAAAAAATACTTTTTTTTATAAGAAATGGATCATAATTTTACTTCAGACCAATCAAATATGAAAGACTGATATCAAAGTAATATATGAAGCAGAATAATTGATCTAACTTTTCACAATATGAAGTTTAAGTTAATAAAAAGTAAAGGTATGAGTTTTGTCTCAAATGATAAAAAGAATGATGATAAGTTAGAATCTGATTATAAGAAAATAGGAAGAAAAGGGAATGGAATTTTCAGAATTATAACAGATCATATGGAGTTTGGAGCTGTAAAAACTGGTCACAAATGGGAAGAATTATCGGAATATTAAATGTGGGAAATCATTTGCAAACAATTATGATGAACACACCAAGAGGATATATTTCCCGTGTCAAACATGAAAAGTTTTATGAAGTTAGCGGTCGTTTAACAAAGTTACAGCCATTAGGATTTGTTATCAAAGAAATTTTATACGCGAAAGCAATAATTGTGAAGACTTTAGACTTGATCGATAATGATAAATTAAACAGATTGTACAACTATGAAAGTATTCCAGAAAATTTTACACCTATTCCATTTACTTTTCCTAAAATAATTTCTAAAACTAAAGAATGATTTTTTTTCCCGGTTTTAGAATTCATTGCTCAAAAGATTGTCAATTAGGGGTACTGCGTTGTTTCATCTGTGTTTTGACAAGCTCTACCATCAAAAAAATAATGTCTTATGCACAGTTATTTCGGTGTCAATAATATAATGAATTTCTCGTTCCAGTGAGATTTTCTACTGAAACCTTGGAACTTTGGACATCCGTTGTGACTCTGTTATCAAGTTTAACACCATGTAACAATTAATTTTTTTTTTACTCGCGTTTAATTATTTTTGATCTTTAACTAGTTGATTAGTAGGGGTAAATAAAAATTTGATAATTTATTATATACATATCGTACATACGTACTTTTTATTCAAACAATGACCTCATACTTTAAGTGGTTTTTCATAAAAAAAAAAAAAAACGAAATTTATAATAAAAAGTATACTAAAAAGTATACTACTACAATACACTATAAATTTATCCCCATAACGTTATCACAAACCCAAACCATAGCTCATAGCTCCTTCCGAGCATATAATCTCAATCGTAAGTTTTAGTAAACAGATCTATATATATATCTAATTGATCTAATTGTCTGGTTTAAAAAATATCATCATCAGCAATATTCCATTTCCCTTCACCAGTTCCTTCAAATTTCTCTTTTCCAGCTCGTTCTCTTTCTTTCCAATATTCATAATTAAATTTCCAATATTTTTCACCTGTATCAGGTTCAATATCACGAGTAAACCACCTAGGTTCATGTTCAATTAAAAGACCATTTTCCCTCTTTTTTCTTTTTGTTCGTTGTTTTTCTTCTAATCTTATTTTTTCAGAACTAGCTACATCGTATAAACCACTTTCCATTGCACGTTGATCAGGTCGAAATCTACTATCTGTAGGAGCAATCCAATTTACTAAACTATCAGGTAAATCATTAAGTGTAACAGCAAATTTTGTAAGATTAAATGGTAAAGGTTCATCAGGTAATGGATTTCGTTTCCATAATAAATATATTGGTCTTGTATTTATTGAAGTCGTAGAATGTGTTGGTGATGGTACTAATATTTCATCTACCGGAGTTTCATTAATTGTGGTGTAAGCATTACCTAAATCATCATTGGTGGTTAATAAACTTTCATCACTCCTTCTTGCTACTAATCTTTCATTCCATCTTCCGGCAATTTCCCATACTTCTTTACCATTTGAATCTTTAACATATCCTTTAATTTCAAAAGCATCTTTTCCTCTCCATCCTCGAGCTTTAAATGTTAAAACACAAATATCACCCGTTAAATGATTAGTAATAATCATATCTCCATAATGATCAATCCATGGAGTTCCTAATATTAAATTGTTTACACAGGTCGTAACTTTTTTCCATGAATAATGCTCGGAAAATGCATTTGGATTTCCAGTAGCAATAAATGAATCTGGTGTTCCATCTACGTGACTTGGCCAATAATCTTTTAATACTTTTAGTCTAACATGTGATACACCTTGTGGATGAATTTCAAATGATTTTCCCCAGAATTTTGATTTAACGTCTACTTCAGCAAAAAAATCATAATTTGCGGATTCACAATAACATGCACTTATTGGCTATATGAATTAAAACCATTAATTAGTTGTTATTATGACACATATTAAATATTTAGATAAATAAAAAAGAGGGTTTAACTTACCGGATGATGACTAACTTGTTCTGAAACATATCGAAAAGCTTTATCACGTCTAACATATTCATAAGTTTCACCCTATAATAAGAATAAAATCTATTTTAAATAAATAAGTATATTTGACAAAAAAAATATATAGATAAATATAAAATATTTACCAATAACGGATTAAAAGGTTTAGCAATACGACCAACAGTACTAGAATAATTACTCATTGCAAAAGCAGCAACATATAAAATTCTTTCAGTACTTCTTTTTTGTCGAGCAGCTAGATCTAAAAGATCACTATATTCCATATCTTCAGCCATACGTTGTAACATTGAAGTTGGATCATTAAAATATACAGGTAATGTAATTTTACTTAAATCTTTTCCAATTGAATTCTTTAAAATAGCCCATAAAGAAACATCAGGACGTGAAGATTGATCAAGTGGAAGTTGATCTCGAATATAATCAGGATAACCATAATATGAATTGGAAATGTAAGGAGTAGAAACATTTAATGTAACACCTGAATCATCTAATTTAACAACATCTTGAGATTCTTCACAATTATCCATGGCATCATAAAATTCATCAGAATCATAATCCTCAGCTAACATTGATAATATTGAAGTAGCTTGTTCCATTGAAACTCTTTGACCAAAAGAATCAGGTACATTAGAAGAATCATCAGATTTAAATGAAGCATCAAAAATATCATTAGAAGATAAACGTGAAGGACTGGAAGGAGAATTAAGTTGACTCTCAGCAAGAGCGGCTTTTAATTGCCTTTTTCTCATCTTTTGTTCTTGAACATTTTGTTGTATAAGTTTTTCCATTTCCGATTTTTCCATAGCAAGTAAACGCATACTTTCTTCCCAGAGTCTTTTAGCTTCTAATTCCTTTTCCAATTTTTTATTCCAATATGCATCACGTTCTTCAGTCATACGAAGAACATCATCAACAAGATTGTGAAGAGTTTTAATTGATTGAGAAAAAGTATCTATTATAGTAGATTCTTTTGAAACAGTTGAAGAAGAAGAATCAGAAACGATAGAAGAAAGAGAAACTAATAATTGATTTTGTAAATCTAATTGAGCTCTTGTAGAACTTATGGTTACACGATAAGTATCATCACTAGGAATATGTTCTAAATCAATTGATTGATTTGATGGAGATCTTGAACGATCACGATCGGAATCAGCAGAAGTTAAAGTATCAGCATGAGAATCGGATTTATGAAGACTTCGACTAACTCTAGTTTCATCACTAACAGAATCATCAATAATACTTTGTCTACGACCTCTATCGTTTTCTGATGATTGTGTTAACGCGATTACCCATTTTTTTGCTTCACTAGGATTATTAGCACGTAAATGATATCTTACAGAACCTTTACCAATAATATCAAATCTAAGTCTATCAGTACTATCAACAGAAATTTTTGCTATTTTCATATTGATTGAACCACGACATGAATTTCCAGCATCATCTTGATTTTTAAAATACGATAACATGCCTATAATAAAATGTTAATAAAATGTTAATAAATGTTAATAAACGATTATATGAAAGTAATTTTACAGTATAAAAAATAAGTTTGGTAATATACCATTTTCAAGTACAAACCACCGACTCTTATAACCACCAGCATAATTTGTCCACTTATGCAAATAACCTTTTAACATTGGTGGTTGATTAGGTAAAGAAGCAATGACAAGACTTGTTGCAGGAGCACCTATAATTTAGGAACTGAAGTTAACGTTTAAAGCATAATAATAAAAGATAAAAAAAAAACTATAAATATATATATATATATATATACGTAAATATAACTTACCTTGTTTAAGTAAAGCTTTTATTTTATCCTCTTTAGTCACATCAATGGGAAATTTACCTTTACGATCTCTAATTGAAACGTCAGCACCATGATCCAAACAAAATTGTACCATTTCTAAATCTTTTTTTCGAGCAACATCATGTAAAAGAGTTGAACCACTAACAGAATCAATATGATTAATATTAACCAAGGCAGCTGCACGAGGATCTTGAAAAAGACTTTGAATTCCAACATAATTTGAATCAGCAACATATTGTTGAAATAGATTTGAAGTACGTTCAGCAAAATTGGATCTATTTTCTTAAGATAGATAATAATAAAAAAATATTTTATTAAGTAAAAAATTAATTAATTAATCGATCAAATATATAAAAAAAAAATAATAATAAATACCTTCCAGAAAACTAATAACATCACGATTTTTAGTAACTTCTAAAGGTTGTTTACCATCATTATTTGTTATAGTATCATTAATATATTTTTGTTTTAATAATAATTCAAGAACGTCTATTCTTCCAGATTTTGAAGCATGATGTAATGCAGTATTTCCCTGTTGATCTCTTTGATTAACATCAATAATATGAGAAAAATTTGTAATAATAAATTCAATAGTAGTCATTGTAGCACATTGAACAGCGAGTATAAGAGGTGAAGGTGGTATGGCATGATTAATATCTCCGGAAATTGAAGTTGGTGACGTTAAGACTTGTGGATTATAATTGGACAAAATTGATGAAAGTACAGTTGTATCTCCTAATAAAATATATAAAATATGATGGTAAAAAAATAATAATATGTATATATTAATATAAAATAAATTGGCATAAAAGATTGGTACAATTATTTGATCAATAGAATCGAGAACCTAAATTCATTCCTTCTTAGAGCTTTTGATCTGATGATCTACATAGATATAATCAAAAATCCCAAGAAACAGAATTTGATACCACCAAAAATTGTAAAAAATAATATAGATTAAGGAAAGATTAAATAAATACCTGAACGAAGAGCTTCCAAAAGTTGATAGGTTTTCACAGATTCTTCTACAATTATAAGAAAAAGATAAAAATTAATGAATTCAAATTCCTACACATTTGTTACAAGATCAGGAAGACAATTACTCAATTATGTAAGATCCATTAGAAATTATAGAAAAAAGTAAAAAAATGTATAAAGTAATAAATAAATATATATTCATTATGAAAATAATATTGTAAGAGTAGCTTAATAATTCTAATATGGATTATACATAAATTGATATAAATATTTCTTAAAGTTAATAATGTTATAAAACTATACCAATAGTAGAATCTCTTTTAGTATTGATTTTTAGGGATTTTACAGAAGCCCTTGATTGTTCGGATTTAGACGACGTGATACTCATAGTGATCGAAGTATTCGAATCAAAGTATCAAAAGTCAGAAAATTTAAATAATTTTCTTAAAATAGGAAACTTAATGATTGATTTGAATGGTATAATATAATAATAGAATAATAATTGCCCAGGAGAAGACAAGCCTTACTTTTAAACTAGACTTGTACGTACTGACGCACTCAAATTTATGCATGTTAACCAAAAAGGCAATATTGTAACATTGTGCAATGTTGTCAAGTTGATGATCATATGTCACGAATTGACTAAAGTTTAACATTTGTTAGAGCAAAAATTTTGAATTATTTGAATTATTGGTGATTTCATTAAAAATATGCATGTTTTACAGTAATTCAGTAATTATGAATCAAACTCAATTCCAAATGTTTTATTTAATGTTTTATTTAGATTATTTCTCTGGCAGGTTATTTAAACGACATCACACCAGATGACAATTTACTAATAAATGCTAAGCTGTCAACTTGTGTAATGTCGGTTAAATAGACTGTCAACAAAACGATTGTGATCTCAATTTACCTGCAGTATTGTCGACATTAGCCAATGTAAGGATGATAAAAACAAACGTTCTTTAATGATTTTTAATGATTTTTAATGATTTTAATGTTTTTAAATTGTTTTTAAATTGTTTTTAATGATTTTAAATTGGTTTAAATTATGATTTAAAACATTGGTAATTGAAACTGCTATATTCGATATATGATTGGATCATTTATTCCCATAAACCTACGTAATTATTTTTGCATCGAACATATGTCACTCGATATTTGTTTTCGAACAATAAAACTATATACTGTAATGCCAATGATGGAATACGTAGTAAATTTCCGTTGCGTAAATAGATGTTGCCTAATTATTTGTACTGTATTATAGATTTAAATATGCATATTTTAATAAATCGTCAATTAATGAAAATAAATTAGCAGTAATGATAACATTACTGCATTATATAATATCGATATATGTCAATTTGATTAAACATATGCATTTAAACAAACAAATTTATTTATCCGATATTTTCTATTTATTAGATTTGCATTGCCAACAGTTGTTCGACATTCAAAAATTTAAGCACATGAATTTACACGTCTCGCGTGTAGATTGATGTCTATTGATGTGAGTAGGGTTGTAAACTGTTAACCTAAGACGTACGTACCTTACCTTACATATATTAATATCAATTTAGGCATTTTTTATTTAAATGTTATATAAACTTTAAAATTGAAATAATTCAAGTTTTTATTATTTAAACTTAGTAAACGCGATTCATTCAATATCGCATAATTAATAGCCATAAATAAACCCTTTACAATCATTACAGTATTCCAATAAACAAGCAAATCCTTTATTAGCATCGTTACAATCATTGAATCATGTTCTTGGTAGCTGATTGTTTTTAACTTTTTAATTTAAACGAATTAATATCGATATTATTTTAATAATTCGGGCAAGAATCGCACATCACTGAACGAAAATAGTAATACATGGTTTAATTTTACAGTTGACATATTCAATTTTAAAATGTTTAAAATGATAATATTTGATAATATTCGATGATCAACTAAAAAGCAATTGAATGACTAATACATCATAATAATATTAATAATAATTGTCGCGACTGACGCTGAAAATAGATTAAATCTACTAAAATCTACATATATAAATCTACATATATACTTTTATTAATAACTTTAATTCTAACATAACTCGAATAAAAAAAAAATGTACGCAAACAAATTTAAAAATTTCTCATCAATTTTCAGCATCAACATCAATCGCATTTAAGGACTATGTAATGTACAAAAAAAAAAAAAAGAAAAAAAAAGCGATATCGAGTGATGTAAACGCGTAGCAAAATATGGTTTAATCATTCTTCATATGCATTGTCTTCATCGTTTTCTTCATATACATTTTCTTCATCGTTTTCTTCCTCGACTGCTGTAAAATTAAAAGTCCTGTTAAGAACATACAAATTACAAAATAAAAAGACTTATTATATATTGAAAAATATTCACCTCCAATTTCATTAAGATTCCCCAAATCCATAATTCTACAAGTATATATAGCTTCAGGATGTATTTGTAATATACTATCATCTGCTTCATCTTCTTCATCTTGTTTTTTATCCGACTCATCAAATTGTCTTTTAATTTGTTTATTAATCTCATTCCAAGTCCAAAATTTATCTCTTAACTCCTCGGCTGTTGGTCTTTTTTCAGGATCCCAATCCATACATTGATTTGCCAATTCAACGTAACATTTTGGTGTACTTTTAGAAAATTCGGGACGTAACCCATCACAAATTTTTATAGCAAGATCTTGATTATGTGGTAAATTGTAGAATGGTGGTTTACTGTTTGATACTTCTGTCATTATAACTCCTAAACTATAAATATCTGAAGCTGGTGTATACTCTTGACCGCATAATACTTCTGGTGCTATATAAGGTAACACTCCAAAAATACGATAATAATCTTTCTGATTCGCTCTTTCTACTAAATTCGCATGAACATTGGATAATCCCAGATCGGAAATGTATGAAACAATAGCATCTCTAACACTATGAGCTTTACATAATATATTACCACTATGAAGATCTTTGTGCATATACTGACTTTGATGAATATTATGCAATGAGAACGAAATGTCTGTTAATATTTGAAGCCTTTCAGTCCAATCAAGTTTGGATTCCGTGAGACATGCTCGTAAATCTCCTCTATCGGCATATTCCATAACTAACATGTATTCTTGCGTTGTTGGATGGTATGTTATACCATAAATGTTAAAATACTTTCCGAGTTTGTTTTTAAGACAACTGTAATATTGAAATCTAAACTGAAAATTATAGAATTTTAAATTTAAATTATATTAATTTAAATTTTAAAAATTTTCATATATGACGAAATATTTAATATATAATAATTTTTGGTAGTTACCTCTTGCAAGAATTCAATTGATGGATTTTCAGATTTAGTTAAAGTTTTTAATGCTACATTAACAGGTTCACCTCTGGTTTTTTCGGCATCATAATCTAATCTGGTTAACTTTCTCAATCCATCAACCCAAACTGCATAATACACTGAACTAAATCCACCTTCCCCAATTTGTTGTACTCCCCGAAGTCTTTCAAACGGAATCCATTCAACAACTTTTTCGTATTCTTCCGTTTTAGTCCATAATCCTTCTAGGAAATCATCGATCGCTGGATTTCCAGAACCACCTGTATCTTCAAATTCTCTGATTAAGATCCTAGGATCACATAATTGGCACCAAGCGACGTTCGTATTGTAATGTTTACATACTTTACATTTTCCATAGGCTTTATACCGTTTAAATTCATCTTGGCAGGGAAGATCTCTAGTTGTTGAATTTGAATTACCCATTGCTTTTGTTTTTTGTAAAAGAAATTTATTTAGAAAATTTATTTAGAAAATATATTTAGAAAATATTTTAAGAAAATATATTTTAAGAAAATATATTTAGAAAATGTTTTAGAAAAATTTGATGACAAGAATAAAAAAAAAAAAATCAGGTCATATATATGTGCATTATATATACTTATTCAGAATTAATCCTCAAATGATCGTTCTATTTTGATACTGTAAAACCCTGAGGTATGTAATTTAAATTACATATGTCCGTATTGGTACCGATACGTGCATATCATGCGTACGTGAAAGCGTTGAAAAAATCTATTGGTTCCGGTTCAGATTTAGCAGGATTAGCCCGGAGAGATGGTCACATAAACATACTAAAACTATTATTTGATCGATCGATGCACGAAAAAGATTCTTTAATGCATACTGCAGCTGCCATGGGGCTTGGCTGAATCTGAATTTATATATTCTTGGAATGCTTAATATATTTCTCCATTTCTAGCATATACGTACGTAGTATACTATATAATAATATGCAATAATTATACTGTTTATTTCCACCTAGGTGCGTCGGGATGTGAATTATTTAAATGCCAGTTTGCATTTATCATGAGATCATGATTAGATTAGGATTATATCAGGATTATATTAGGATTATTCGATATTAAAAGGACAAAAAATACAACAATTATATTTTATAACGATTTTTCAACAAAGGGAAAAAACTTTTTATAGCGTAATACTTTTGAAATCTTTAAAAGTCTAGTCTTCATTCAATGTGAACTCTTACTTATATGCTTATTTTCACATGTGACAGAAATATCATTGCAATAAAAATAACAATCTCAAAATTTCTGATACATTCTGGGAAATATTGAGGATTTCAAGGATATCAAAGATCTTGGGAATCTCAAGTAGCATTTTACTTCGGTTACCACAGAACTTCCGGATCATATGAGTGCTCATTAAGTGAAATGATTTTCATATGTAATAATTTTCAGGGGTTGGCAGTGTTCATTGTTAAGTAAGTGTTACTCAATATCGTTGATTTTCACCTTATAAAGTAATTCTAAAAATAACTGAATAAAGATGTTTCTGGAAAAAACTAATTGTTTATTTGTTAGGTAATAACGATAAGAAAATGGTGTAATATATGTCTTTATATGGAAATTACCATTATTTTGTAATGGTTTGCCATATATGTATAAAAATCGATTTCGTCAATAAAATTCCATACTTTCTCTAAAAACACCTACTGTATACGTAACCGTCCTAGAGTTACCAAAGTTAGTGCTTATTTATTTTGAAATTATACCTACGTATCACTATATATAGAATTTGGTTTGCAATTAATTTACAAATTTAAAAAGTCACAAATCCTAAATGTTAAATTGTAAGAGATTCTGTATCACCAATTCAATAGCGATATCACGAAAGTTCGAGTATGAATGGAAATTACATAGTAAGCTGTTAAAATAATGTGTAATGAAAATTATTAACCATAATTTTATTTATTTTAAAATATCAATTATGTATTTGAATTTGAAAAAAAAAAATTTAAATAAACGCTAATAAGATTGAAACGATTTATACTGCAGAAAAAAATTTTTACCCCTTTTTTAAAAAAATTGTAATCAGTAAAAGTATACGAATTGTTAACATTCTAAATTTAACTAGTGCTCAGCTATGTATTTCTAGCATTTAAAATAGCATTAAAAACAATTCAACCAAATTCGATAAAAATTCTCTCATTGTTATTCTATAAATCTATAAGAATTAATAATGGGTATCCATAAGCTGTACTACGTAAATTTACAAAAAAAACTTAATTTAATACAGTAAAAAAATTATGCCTTTGAAAAAATTTTTTATTAATCCTACCAAAATTTTATAATAGATAAATACGTATGCGTATCTATTTACTTGTAAGCTACTTGTATTTTTAAATATATGTTTGATAAATTTATATTTATTAACTTTGATAACATTTATATTTGTTAATTTAATAATAAGGCAAGGAGGGAGGGAGGAGAAAATTAAACAAACATAAAAATAAACATAGTGTACCGAACAATCCCGAAAGCAAGCAAAAATTCCGGAGACAACGCTGGCTATTATATTAACCAATCTGTCACTTCTATTTATTTAATTTTTGGGAAGCTTAGGAAACGGAGAGGGGAATAACGTTAAACAAAAATTCAATTTCAAACGACCTAAATTTAAAAATAATATGTTATTTAAATTCTAATACATATTTTTTAAAAAAAGTGAGGTCTTGCCTCGGTTTCTTTATTTCATTGTGATATAATGTAGTACATATCATTTAATCTCCGAAAGCTAAGGCTTAGGCTACTTTACCTACGACCTAGACTTTGCTAAAGAGGGTCAAAGTCCCCACCTAGTCTATGATTGGGTTAATAAAGTTTGGAGAAGTGTTGTGGTTTATGAATAATCTTTTCCATATTCAAGTTTGATTTCTATTTTGATTTAGTTAATGTTATGCAGTGTGTATTTGCTAGAGTTGTTGAGATTGTTAATCTGTTTTCAGTAGCTTTTTTAGCTGTATTGTATTTGACATACTTGAGCTTTTAGATTGTTTTTTACATTATGTTAATTATATTTCTTTGTATATTTTTTGAATAATTTTATGTAGCAAACAAATCAATAGATTGCATTTTAATTTTTGTACTTTTAATGCTTTGTTGATAAAACTTGTACTATTTTGTAATAACATGTCTAGTATTACTCTTATCAGTTCTATTTATGGGTCTGTTAGGTAAATGCTTTGTATAATTAGAGTAGTTATCTGATATCTAGTTTTATTGTTTGGTATTTCATATTTGGTTAAGGTTTTATAATTATTATTTTTTATAGGCTTGTATTATTGCTGTTGCATATTAATAAGTGTAGTTACTTTCTGTTATTTTTTGACATTTTGAATATGTTAAGTTGAGGTATTTCTTTATATCATGTTTATAAAATACTTTTAATATTGACAGTTTTTTCAATAATAGTTTTGTTTTTTTTGCTTTTGCCAAGATTGTTGTTATTGATAACTATTGTTTTTATTGTGTTTTTAATTATAGTTATATAACTTGTACAAAGTAAATGTGCAACTAGCTATATATGCAATTTTTTGTTATCTATTTAAGTAGTCCACCCACAGGTTTTACATTAGCTGCCATACCTGTAATTAGTTAAAAGATTATCTAATTAAATACTCTAATTTCTATACTATATTTAACAGATAGTACACAAGTTTTCATATATCTAAGTATTGTTTAATTTAACATTTGATCTCTTTTTTTGTACATTTGTTAAGTTGTTAAACATTTTAAAGTATATTACCTAACTTTAAAACTTTAGAAAATCTTTATATTAACTAAACTGCCTACTTTTTCTATAGAACATTAATAGGATTTGTTCTTGCAAAGTTTACTCAGACCTTAGTATTAATTTTACAGCATATCTTTAGTACTTATAGTATATTCTTTCTTTTAACATCAACTTTTAATTTAAATAACTTAATAGAACTACTTTTTATATGTTTGAAATTGCATTTATCTTGTTATTGATTTTTATTTAATATTGACAACTATCTTTTACTATTCTTTTTTCTCTTATATCCTTATTGTATTTGCTAATTTTAGTTACTAGATTATTTTTTATACTTTGTATTTGCCAATGTTTTATTAATACTTTCTTCTTTTTTTCTAATTACTTTTTTTAGTTGTCTAGTATTTTTTGCACTATATAATATCTATTTACTCTTTTTTCTATTCTTTAATAAATTTTTCTACTTAATTTTTATTGTCTGTATGTTATGTTCATCTGTCTTAAAGAGTTCTTTAACCTTTCTGCTTTCTAATCTATTAAGCATTTTTGCTTTTATTATTTTGAATTATTTTGCTTTTTTATCTTTACTTGATCATTTCTAATAACTTTTAAATTGCTACTATATTATTTGCTTTTTAACTTTTGCATCAAGTATCTGGTTTAAATATATTAGGCCTAGTGTAGAAAATCTAATGTTTTTATGTTCTCAAGAGAACATGTTTTTAAATTTGAGAACATTTGTTACTTTGAACATATTCTCTATAAAAAAATTATTGAGAACATATTACTTGATAAATATGTTCTCTATATAATATAATACAAATAAAGTTAATGATTAGAAAATAAAGTAAGTTCAAAAAATTTAGAAAAAAAATAAATGATATAAAAGATAAACAAGTTTGAGACAAAAATTTAAATAAATTACTAATATTATTCAAAAAAATTCAAAAAATGAACAGAAATTTTTATTATTGAGAACATAAAAATATTTTTAAGAACATTAAATTAAATAATTATGTTCTCATGAGAACATAAATTTCAAAACAGATTTCCAACACTAATTAGGCCTGTTTTATTTATTTTGGCTTTGCTTTTTTTTCATAATTTTTATGTATCTAGAAGTTCAAGTATTCTAAAAGCATAACTACTGTTGTACATAGCTTACTTTTTATATTATATTTATTCTTAGCTTTTTTACTAACTATTGTTAAACAGACTAAATTGTTCTTCCAATATAATTTATTTTTTAATAACTTTTTTAATTGTTATGTCTTTTGTTAATACTACTTTTTAACAGCCTTATATTATTTTTAATTTTGTTAACTGCTTTAGTTTATTTTTTTTATTAAGTCTTGCTAACAAAGCTCCTACTTGTTTTATTAGTAATTTCTTTTACAAAATTTTGCAATTGCCAAAATCCTTGTATTTTATTATACAATTCTTTAATGTTTTTAGCAAGTTGTTTTTTTAGTTTGCTAGGCATATTATTAATTGGTGTATTTTATTTATTCTTTTCTCTAACATTTTTGTTAATTGCAGCATATAGCTTAATTTTAATATAATTATTATATTATTTATATATGCTATTTGACTTATTGTTATTTTTTTATATTTAAGGTCTCTTATTGTCTGAATTGTTATTCTTTTTACTTTTTTCTTTACTAAAACTTCTTGCATTCTGTTGTTTAGCCAAATTTTTAAAAAATAAACTATCTTGTTTTTTGACTCTTTTATTATCTTACTTTCTTTAAATATTATCATTTTTTTACTGATTTTTTTATTTATTACTATCAGTTTTAATTTAGATCTATTTATTTCTATATTATTTATTTTAAAATACTCTTTTGCTATTTTTAATATTTTTAATAACTGTTTTTTGTTGCTTACAATCTATATATATCATCTGTATATGCAATTTCTATCTAATAATAGCTTTTAATATTGTTATAATATATTTTTTCTTTGGTTTTTTGTTCTCTGTATAGTCTAATCTTTTGCTTTCTGTATTTTTTTTAATAGTGAATTATAAAAAAGATGTTATATTAGTAGTGATATTATTTTATCTTAATCTATTCTATTTTCTAATATTATTTCTTTTATTAG